TGGCGTCCGTATCCTCCTTCTTGGCTGTCGCCTCATCTGCAGGCTGATCACGAGCGACGATGCCTGTTACTGAGCTCTGAAGTTCGTGTAGTCCGAGGAGGACTTCATCGAGGTGCTCTTTCTTCAGCATGTCTTCAGGAGCCTCCGCAGCGCGGGGAGCCGACTCAATTGCCTCGACCTTGACTTGAAGTTGGGTGATAAGGGCCTTCAGACCTTCAATATCGTTGCTGCTGGTGGAGTCAACGGGTGGAGTGTCACTTGCAAGCATCAGTTCACCTCCACGAGTCGTCTCAACTTCTTCGCTCTCTTTCTGAGCTTGCCTCAGCATCTCAACATCTGCCTTCAGACTGCCAAGCCCTGATTTTAGCTCATCGAGCAGCTCCGAATAGTCGAATTCCACATTCTTCTCCATCAGTTTTGCAAGGTCTTCCCGAATGGTGCCAACACCATCGTTCAAGGCTTCGATGACTTCACCATTAGTGAAGTTGTCGCTTTCGGCAGCCTCTCTGGGCTGGCTTTGCTCCTCCTTGAAGCTGTCGAATCTTTCATGCAGCGCAGCAAGAATCTCATCCTTGTCGGTCTTGGGCTCCGTAGGCTCCGCACGGACCAAGGTCATGTTCATTGAGTGACGGAGTTCCTCGAATTCTTGTTTGATGATGTTCGTAATGTCGTCGACATTCGTAGACTTGTGCTGCTCTGACATCTCCCGGATTGCTCCCAGGATTGCATCACTGTCTATGCCCTTGTGTTGCTCGGACATATCGCGCACAATAGCAAGCACATCATCATTGTTGGCTGCCTTGTGTTGCTCTGATATTTCACGGATTGCTGCAAGAATCTCCTCGGTGTTTGTGCTGTTCTGCTTCTCGGAAATTTCATGGATGGCAGCAAGAATCTCCTCGCTGTTCGTACCGCTTTGCTTCTCGGACATCTCATGGATGGCAGCAAGAATCTCCTCGGTGTTCGTGTTGTTCTGCTTCTCGGAGATTTCACGGAGGGCAGTAAGAACTTCATCGCTCGGCGCGTCGGGTTTCTGTTCGAACGCTGCCGCAACTGCGGCAAGGATTGCATCATTGTTGGCAGACTTGTGCTCCTCCAACTGTTCACGAAGAGCTGCAAGGATATCCTCTCCAGGCGTACCCGGCTGCTTCTCCGACAGCTCGCGGATAGCCGCAAGAACATCATCATTTTGCGAAGGCTTATGCTGTTCGGAGATGTCGCGGATGGCGTCGAGAATTTCGTCCTTTTCATTCGGTGCGTTGTTGCGAATCAACAAGGAGCTCATGGTCTGTCGCAGATGCTCGAATTCCTTCTCCATGGCATCAAGAAGTTCTGGGGTATCCGGGTTACCGCGAGGCGCATTAGACATGGCAGTCTCGGTGATTGTCTTCTCCATATCAGCCTGCAATAGGCGGAACCCTTCCTTGACAGTGTCCATGATCTCATGCTTCCCGGAAGCTTCAGCTGCAGTTGAGGCGTAGCCTTCCACTTCCTGTCGCACGACAGCAATGCCATCTTTGATAGCGTTGAGCAGCTGCTCGGAGCTCTCTTCACTGGCAGAGAAATGTTGACCCATTTCCCCCTTTATGCTATCCAGCTGCTCCTGAACACGTTCCAGCATTTGCTCGCCGACGCTTTGGTTCGCCTCATTGGCCTCCGCCAGACCAGCCGCGATAGCCTCCATAAGGTCATCCCTGTTAAGTTCGATCTCTCTTGTGATTGAGTTCTGGCTTTCCATGCCTTCTGCGATGGCGTGCAGAATCTCATCACGGGACACAGTAGGTTGAACATTGGTGCTGACGACCGACTGCTGTGCAATGAATGCTTCATTTATTACATGGGCAACGTCATCCTTTGTGATGTGAGGGTGTTCAATGGCTTTGGTCGCTCCGAAATGTGCTTCTAGTCCTTCTGAGAGAGCACTCAAAATCTCATCACGACCAAGACCAGAGTCCAGTGTATCTCTTGTGAGAGCACTCTGGGACGTAACGGAGTGTGTGACGGCTTCTAGGATTTCATCGCGCATGCCATCAAGGTGTTCGCGCTCCACGCCCCGAGGTGCAGGAGGTTCAAAACCGGCAAGGCATTCGTGAATTGTTTGTACGATCTCTTCTTTCGTAATGCTGGGTGGTTGCGCGAAGCTCTGCATTCCAGCCTGGACAGCCGCCAAGACTTGGTCGTAAGTAACGGCATCCTCGTGCTGCGGCCTATACTCTTTAAGCCCTTCTGACAAGCACTCCAGGATCTCGTCTCGTTCCAAGCCAAAATTTTGCAATTCGATCTCGGGCTTATATGTCTCCCAAGCTTCCCTGACGGTCTCTAGGATCTCTTCCTTTTCCATATTGACACCGTGGGGCTCGGCACGGAACTGAGACAAGTCAAGCTCATCTAGAGCCCTCTTGACGACAGAGTAGAGTTCGTTGCCATTCATGGCGGCTCTGAATTCCGAGATGGATGAAGAGTGGTGTCTACTCTCATCCATAATCGAAGCGAGTTGGTCTCTAAGCTCGTGCAGGCTATTTTCGACGATACCAGCCAGCTCTTCATGAGTGGGACGATCCGGCCTATCTTCTATTGCGCGGGAAGTACCAACTCCTTCGATTTGGCGAGCTAGATTCCTTCCCATTCCTAGAACTTCTCCTCGTAGTTCTCGTACAAGAGCTTTGACTTCGTTCGTCATGCCACCTCCTTCAATGACACTAGTCTTTACTCTTTTCATGATCGCTAGCATCTCGTCTGCCATTCCGGGATCGGCGGGCACCAAAGAGCGTTCGGCGGGCCGGATGTTGTGGGTTTCCATATCGGGAGAGTAGGCATGTTCGTCGTCCAGCGACCTTGTTCCGGAACCATCTGGCTCTCCCTGCGGAGGAACGCTGTCGGCGCCGGCCCAAGCCTGAGAGCGTACCAAAGCCTTGTTTCCCGGGTCGTCCTTCACATGCTCGAGAATCTCTTCAAGCATTTTCGTAATCGTCTCGTCATTTGATACTTCGTGGGTTTCGGAGACAGGCCTGGCTTTAATCTCCTCAACCATTTCTATAAGCTTGTCTTGACCTTCCTTCGTCCCCATCTCCCGCAGGACCTTCTCTAGTAATGCGATGCTAGCGGAACCATCAGAGATAGGCGTAGGAGATCCACACAATTCGCGCTCCATTGCTGCGGCAAATGGATTTGGGCTTGACATTCGTGGTGCTGAATAGCTCTTCTTCGAGCTCGGAGAACTATCCGGTTCCCTATTGTTAATACCGTTTTCAGAACCCAGGAGAGTACTGAAGTCCCACCTTGTGGCAGCATCAGGATCAAGGAACTTTGCGGCTAGGCTGGAGGACAAGTCACGAAGGCTCTTGCGAATATCCTCATCTCGGGCATTAGTCGCAGCTTTGAGACTGACCAGGTCCGTGGCATTGTCTTTACTTCGTCGGCTTAGTTGAGCCATTTCGCGCTGAAGATTGCTCGCAATATCTGTCAGGCTGAGTATCTGGGTAGATAATGATTCGAAGGTGTGGTTGTCGGGGCGCCTAGGCCCAATAAACGGGTCTGCATCGTTACTTTTTGGTTTCAATGGCTCAACGCTCTCGGTAGGCAGCTGCATGTTCTGCAAAGCTAACATCGTCGCCGACGGAGGTGTGCTTTCGCCTAGGATTGGCCTCGAAAGGTATCGGTTCGAAATCTGCAAGTTAGGCAGCTCTTGTTCATTGTCGCGCGAGTCCGCTGAGCCAGGAGCTTTCACAGGCGTTAGTTCATGCTGCTTAGGGCTCTGATCAAAAGTCGACGCGCGGAGAGGCCGTTCTGGTGACCGGCTCTCAAGATAGTTTAAGAATTCATTGCGAGCATCTGTATTCTGTAGTGACTGCATGCGCCTGTGAAATTGACCCTTGATGAGGGACTTCTCTGGGGACTTCGGCGGCATGGGGTTGGTCGTATACGGGCTCGGTGCGTTTTCGCGCATCTTTTCTTGGAAATTCGCCGCCACGGCTTGGATGCCTGGGGAGACATTTCCTCTTGTAACAGGGCTAGTAGCACTGGGGTTCATGGGGAGCGGAGGGGGTGCCCGTTCGGGGTCCGAACTGTCCCACCTTCGTTTCCACAGTCCACGGTCAGTCTGATGCGATTCATAGTTATAGCCCAAGAGAGGGGCTCAAAGATAGAGTTTGCACATACATGGGCACCGATTGATGTCTAACGACCAGTTCCCGGTCGCGGGACCCATCTCGTGTATGCGTAGGCATCATGTAACTTAATCGTCGTTAAAGCAAAAAAAAACAGGGTATGTCTGTCGATGTTGGATATAAAGCAAGTCGATCGAGGGATATCAGGAATGTGCGAGAGGAATGTTCGTCAAAATCAAAGCAATCGGGGTCGTAAAGGGCATATCAAATCGTCAAAACAAAAACTAAAAAGACGCAGGAGGGGGGGAATTGAAAGACAATAGGCGATAAAAAGAAAACAGGAACAGGATATAGAATCTAGAATGAAGATGATGATACAAATGCGCTTGCTATGAGAGATGAGGGGAAACAAGGACGACGAAACACAATGCGACGAGACGGTTGCAAGAGACCAAGGAACACGAGCAGGCTCCAGAGGTTGAACAGTCAATATAAGAGACAATCAAACATCCAAGTGGAGTTCCTGGCTGAAAGGAACGGTAGCTCATGGGGCATCAACGGAAGCCCGATCCAATGTGCGGCGTACACATCGAAGCTCCCGTCATAGCAACCGACGGTCCTTTGGTTGTCCGGTAAACAAAGAGCCAAGACCCGATCGAGGCGGTGAGTTTGTCCGACCTCCCCGACATCTCGGGCACTAGTCCGTTTGGAGAAACATTCCCAACTCGGCTAGTAGCCTTCAGTCGGTAAGGTGACCAATGATATTTTGGCGCACAAAGCCCTGAGCCCTCTTCGCTCAGAAAAATAGAACGTCCAACGCGGAGAACCTCACTCACTCGACCGAAGCACATCGACAACCACCCCATCGACCTCCGCTCACCGGGACTTTCACAATGAAGTGTTAGTGAAATGCTGCATCACCTCGACTCTTGATTTTTCTCGTCTTCGAATCCAAACTGACAGGATGTTACGATAGTCATGAAAGTGGGCCGTGTGGCCATCATCACCCGTGGCCGTTACGCCGGTAAGAAGGTACGACAACCGATTTCTCCATTTTCTGGCGAGGACATACATATATACATACCCCGAGGTGGAATGGATTGGAAGGAATGGTTTTTGCCGACTTGAAAGAAGAAATGAGTCTTGGATTTGCATGGAAATGAAATCATCGAGCGGAAATGCGATTCACGGGCGAACTACCATGGGGGATATAATGAACGGAATGTGCAAGGATAGATGTGCTGACGAGGGTTTCTTTCGCGAATGACAGGTCGTCATTGTCCAGCCTAACGACACTGGCTCCAAGGCGCACCCCTTCCCCTACGCCATCGTCGCCGGTATCGAGCGCTACCCCCTCAAGGTCACCCGCCGCATGGGTAAGAAGACCGTTGAGAAGCGCAGCCGCATCAAGCCTTTCATCAAGGTCGTCAACTACAACCACTTGATGCCCACTCGCTACACTCTCGAGCTCGAGGGTCTCAAGGGTGCCGTCTCCACCGAGACCTTCAAGGAGGTTTCCACCCGCGAGGATGCCAAGAAGAACGTCAAGAAGGCCCTTGAGGACCGCTACACCAGCGGCAAGAACCGTTGGTTCTTCACTCCTCTGCGTACGTCTTACTCTTATTACCTTCTGCAGCTACGTTGGCTGGGTTAGGTTCGCAAATGCTGACGGTTCAACAGGTTTCTAAACGGGGTAATTTGGGGCGTTTTGTCGTTTGAGCGCGCAGGGTCTTAGATGAGGCAAAGGGAAAATGAAAAAGCATCGAAGACGTCCGGTTCAAAAGCATGGGATCACGTGAAGTATACCATAGCACGAGAGAAGAATGGGAATGTATCGATGTACAGGTCCAGGACTTGACCAATTTTTCTTATCATGAGGGAGGCCACTCAGATCTGGCGTCCGTCTCGAAATGAAATGGAAAATATGAACAAATTCAACTTTTTTTTTGTGTTTCGGAATTCTCAGCTTCCCAGGGGTTTCTTTTCTTTACAACAACGCACGGCACAACCTAGCGCGAACAAAGAACGCATCCGTACTACAACAGCCCGTCAGGTCGGAAAAGATTACCAGGTCCGAAGTCACCACGATTCGCTCGATCATCTCATCGAAAGCATACTTATCACCTTGAGACGAAAGAATGCTATCGAATCATCCGACATCACAGACCCTTCCAAGTTCCCCTTGTTTGCCTTATCTCACGAGGAAAAGAAGGGGGCGTGTGTGTGTCGGGTCCGATCTAGATTTGGAAACCTACTACTTCCGTTCAACCTACCGAGCTTGTACTCCCATCCCCGCACGGCCGATATTCCCCGTACATGAAATCCCAGCCTATCCCACATGTTGGGGTAAAAGCGGAGTTCCATGGAGAAGCATATATCCCCACCTGTAGGAAACGTAGGCCAGGCTTATATCAGGGGATTATGTCATATTTTATAGATACGGTGCTCGTCCTTTGGTTCCATCTAACGTGCGTAGTGGCGGATTAGTGCAAGGAGGCCATGTTCACTAGTGAATGTAGCACGGATGATGTTGCCCCTCCGTGTAAATGACGGTAGCACCGGCTTCTGCGCCTGAACCAAAAAAGCTAGGTACCAGAAAGGTAGGTGTAGCGCCAACCGGTGCTGGCAAGGTACTACATGGGGGTCCCATGTAGCCGTGGAAATGAGGAGGTGCAATTAGAGGTTGCGATCTGTGCACGTCGTTCCTTACCCGAGAGAGGGAGTAGCCGTCTAGGCGTGCGACAATCCCTCAGTTTCGGTTGTCGATAATGACTGGGTATTTACAATCCTGGCAGCATGGCAACAACTAGGATGGTTAAAGCTACCGATGGGAATCCTTCAGGACATGTGAAAAGCCATTGGCTGTTGTAATCTACGCGGCCGGCGATTGCAGCAAGCAAGCCACCAGGAGTCGGCCGTCCAGGTTGTTGGCGCCTTCTATCTCATTCTGCTTCCGATCGCCGGGTAGAGAAGGTGGTGGTGGTGGTGGTGTTGAGGGGAGAGGACCTTACGTCCAGACTGAGCGTCAATGATAAATCAGTCTTTAAGCACAAAGACGCTGCATTATGCTTCAATATGTCAAAGTTGATCGGGATCGAGGTTTATGAACTGACATCCGGGAAGGCTAGCGTTGACTGACATGCAGCAGCAAGACAATCAGACAGCATTGGAAAGTCCAGCACGGTACGACCATTGTCGCATGAACAGAAGTACGACGCACATGGTCAGCACTAGAAGAGACCGGCCTGGAGGCGAGCCCGTGGAAGATACTACAATGGGGACAAATTCTGTCGAAGCTTGCTCAGATCTGGACAGCACTTGCAGGACTGCCACCACACGGTTGGCGTTGGTAGCGCCCAAGATGAGTGGATCAAGCTAAACCCCTCTCTATCCCAGAATAATATACGGAGCAGTCTGGATAGTAAGATGTATTCCACGGAGAAGGGTGATGGTCCAAAGGGTCAAAGGGTCAAAGACGCCTCCAACCCCGGAACTGAGACGGGGTCCAGGCGCAAAGAAGATGATGCTTGCACTTCCCGCAGGAGATCAACGAGAGCGGTTACCCATCTGGTACAGAAGGAAAAGCAGGGGGAAAGCAGTAGGCCGATTTCCGGATGTACTGATCCTCAACGTTTACCCTCCAGCTGGTTGCTTCTTGAGACTAGTACTCCGGATCGTTGGGGGTGATTTTTGGGGATCCGGTTTCCTTGTGACAGTCCACCGTGAATAGGCGCCCTGATAAGCATGCGGCGCGAACCACGGCGGAGTCCCGTTCTTATCGGAGCCACGAGGGATTCCAGTAAAGGGCCACTGTAAGGTTAGCGATTTGTGCATGTTTCCAAACGAACACTGAAAAAGATGGCTTAGAATCACGGCCTGTAAGATCAAAATGGATAGGGAAAGGACATTAGGCATGAGTGTGTTCGGGAACGAACTACAATGACTGTTAGTGTAGTGTATGTAGCAGGAAGACCAGCCGCCGGGCGATAGAAAACGAGGCCCGCCCGACCCGCAATCACATGCTATCAGCCCATCCCGCGATTCCAAGCCAGAAAACCTTCCCAGGTCAATCAACTGTTCGCAACTTCCGGATTCCATCATCATCCACACTGCACTGCTGCAACTACTTTCAGCCTGTTGCCCCGAATCAAGGCCCTAATTTGCTGTTCCGATGCCTGTCGTTCATTTGTTTGACTTGGCTCTTGCCACTCCGACAACGCAACCGTTACCGCCGTTATCGAGACCAAAATCATAAATCGTTTGATTCTCATTCTGTTCCAGTCCTGACTACTCTATACATGACTAAGAAAGAGGGAACCATGTAGGCACAAGTGCGGGTGGCTTGCTCGACACGGCCTTCCGTGGGGTCTGAACTCACTCTGTCCAGTTTTGAATCCTTATTTCATATTCTCGCTGCTCCGCGATAGCAACTAGGTACTACTATGTTCAGTGCGAATTCGGATGCGGGCTGTCGGGGGAGCGCGAGCGCACGGAAGGAGATGCACGATCCTGGTCAATTCAATCTTGGGTCGCGTTTTCTCCAGGCTCATCCCAGGTTCCAGGCCCTGCAGGTGAAATGATAATGACGATGAAGCCGCCGGATTGAGCACGCAACAACTAACTCCGTCCTACGACGGTCTAAAACCTCCTGGAACCAACGGCTGGCTTGCCCCTCCATTCAAGCTCCAAGCGACTTGTTCACCAACGGGCCCGCTATCACATGCTGCCAACTCGCTCTCGCTCTCTTTTTCTGTTTCTTACCCGGAAAAAGAAATAAAATATTTATTTTTTTCTTATTAACTCATGATAAATCAAACCAATATGAAGAAAGACAATAATTTAAAAATCAAAATAGAATTAGCACAGGAAAAAAAAAATTCAAACAAATCAAATCACTCAAGCCTCATAAATCCTAGCTATCGGATCGACTGATGGCGTGTTCGCTCTTCTCTCCTCTGAACCTACCTTAAATTTAACTACGGTTCACCTCTTTCCGGTCCATCCCAACTGCTCCCGTATTCCGTCTTTCCTTCTGCAAATGTAAGTGATGTCCTTTCCCCTCTCACCCCTCCATTTCCTTTATTATCCTCAACATCCCCATCCTCCTCACTTTCCGCTTCTTGTCACCGCTTCTTCACGTCTGACCCTCCATAGCTCGTCTTGTCCACCAGGACCTATATAGCTTTGGGCATTCTATTGTCGGGTAAGGTTTATCTTATCGCTCCGCTACTCTATACTGCCTTTCTCATACTAATGCGGTTTTCATGTGATAGAAACTTATGCCTCACGCAGAAAACGGCATTATGGGCGAGAACTCTGTCAACGGGGAGGCTATCCACTCCCAATTCCTCGATGTAAGTTACCCTAATGCACGATTGTCGATCGCTTCTAACATGCGCTAATCTCTATTTCCTATGGTAGCACCTGACATCCTATCCTGTTGTTTCCGACTCCATCACCGTCATCAAGACCAACAAGTACGCCGCGAAGTCTCTGGAATATGCCGACCAAGGCTACTCTCGCTTAGCCAAGCCGTTCCTCCCTTACTTCTCCAAGCCGTACGGCTTCGTTGCTCCATATGTCGCGCGGGTAGATACCCTCGGAGACAAAGGTCTGAGCAAGGTTGATGAAACATTTCCATTTATCAGGGATGATACAACCACGCTCAAGGGATCGATCAAAGATGGTGTCTCGTTCCCAGTGCGATTCGTTTATGACCTCAAGGGTCATGTCTTTGACACCTACAGTTCTGAGTACAAGAAGTGTGGCGGCGATGGAATGGTCGCGAGCGGCAAGGCCGTCATCACCACTGGCTTGGTGCTCTCGCAGGAGTCGCTAGCCTATATCAGCTCCTTGCTTCAGGCCAAGAAAGCCCAAGTTAAGGATGCAGTCAACGAGAAGACCGACAACTAAACTCTCGCTATAGTTGATCTTTGTTCCTGTTTCAGCTGGTCTGTTGTCTTGCGATTGATGAGGTAATTCTTTTGCGTGTTTGTCGTGTAGATCGTTTTGCTCTGGGAGGCCTGTCTCCTTTATTCGGTTTGTCTTGGACATAGGCGGTTGCGTTCAATTCTCCACGTGCTCATGCGTCTTTGCATTGGATACATACACAGGCTTGGTAATGGTAGCTAGGGATTAATTGACTTTCATGGAATGTCCGTGCCAGAGGTCTGCGGTACATCAGTAATTAAAAGGCAAAAAAAGTAATATGACAAAAAGATCTCCCCGACTGGGAGTCGAACCCAGGTCTCCCGCGCTTGTTCCTGGGAAGGATTGACAAGCGGAAATCATGACCGTTAGACCATCGAGGATCTTCGTTGTGGAAAGCCACTAACTTATGCTATAATTGCAGGAGCTACTCATGTATTTAAAGTACTGAAGAATCGCGACAGTTCAAGTATACAGACATATACATAAGTCAATCACAACCATCCATTGCTTGTACATCTAACAAGCAAAATAAAGAGGACTGAGGCCTACTCACACGCAGAAACACCCCAAAAAATATAGCAATCCCACAACAACTCCCCACTTCCAAATCAATCAAACTTATTTACATCATATCCCCGACGACGCTCCGTCAGGATACATTTAACTCCCCCATAACCCTCCCTCTACCAACCAACCCCTGTACTATATACCCTATCAAAAACCAAACGAAACATATCCAACTACAACCAGATTCCCAAAAGTAACTCCATCCCAGAACCAAACTACACACATACATACATATCCACTGGGGTAGATAGATGGTAGCAACCGCCCCACCCAAAAAGCCCTAGCCGGTCCGAAAGCAGCCACAACCCCCACCATTACATTTAGATTTATGTAGTCAAATTATTGAGTAAATAATATATCAAATCCTCGATGGTCTAACGGTCATGATTTCCGCTTGTCAATCCTTCTCAGGAACAAGCGCGGGAGACCTGGGTTCGACTCCCAGTCGGGGAGGATTCCTTTTTTGCTCTTTTGGTTTTTTGGGGATGGGGTTGTGGTTAGGGGTAAGTAGTGTTGAAGATGTGGGTTTCCATCCAATGTCTGAGTTCAAATCGTTAAAGCACTGGACAACTATGAATTAATGGTTATGGTTGTTGCTGATGTCTTCTTGGTGATAATGGTAATATTTACATTGATTAGAATGTTAGGTTGTACTAGACAACTTCGGGATCAACGAAAAGTAGTGAAAGGCCGTATATGGAATAATGGATGGCATCTAGCTAGTATTCAATTGTGTGCCGATTCGGTGATGGTGATTGCTATTTGGCATGGACCGTTTGGTGCTTTTAAACGACGGTGCTGGTGTACTCAGCTACGGAAAAGGGTGATGAAAGCAAACACTTAGTGAATGTCTTGTGTGATTAGCCCGATGTTGTATCTGAGACCTCGTCCAAGGCATGATGGAATAGTTCGGCCACAGGCAGCATTGTCCGGAGGTCTGTGTGCGGAAGGCTAACATTTTCCGGATTTCCTGCGAAGAGCCGGGATTTCCTGGCTTGGGATCAGAATGGTTCTTGAGAACTGTTGGTGAGATTGTCCTGGTCACCTACGATATGCGGCGCGGTGTTTTGGCCTTGATAACTTTCATAAACGAGTTTCGGGAATTCGCATATCAAGTGTTTCACCAACAGTTGTCCTTCCGTTGTCACGCAGAAATGATCAGGCAATGGTCTTCTGCTTACAACCCTAAGCACTTCTTCGGAGTCAGCGAAATACTTCTTGGGTACCTCCTAAGCAGTCCTCAATATCTCGTTCTCTGTACTGCAAAGTTATGATGCCTCCTCGTCCTCATGCTCCTCTTCCTCGCCTTCGGCCCCAGGGTGGCTTGTCTTCTGACGAGCCCAATTGGGCTTATGTGAAGGCCCTTCTTTGAATTATAAAGCCGGCCTCGTGGAGCCGTGCCCGGATATCAGCCAGCGGCCAGAAAGAATCCAACAATTACGGTAATCCTGCGTAACCACGGGGGTTTCCGATGTCGGCACTGCTTTTTCCTGCTTTAATCATATTTTGGTGTAGTATTTAGCTACCAAATGACCTACCTCGACTTGAGACACCACCACCAGACTTGGGTTAGCTCTCGACATACGATGGACACGAATGCTAAGGGTAAATTTTTCTCTCGACCTTGGGTACGAAAATCGAAGGGGAAGTGTTCTCTATCATTCCAACCAGAGTAAGTTACCCGTCACGATCATGCACGGCTAAGATCTTCATCTTTCTGCTGGACTTATACTGACAATACCAGTATTGTTGTTCATCATGACCTAGATGGACTGGAGTTCGCTTGCGAGGAAGGTACCGGACAGTTGGTGTCCTGGTTTGAGGACATCCTCATATCCGATTACCCAGATGCCCACATTCTTAGCTTTTATCCATCACCAGATGCTATTGCCATAAGTCTATTCACGGTATACGGTTTCCGGGCCCAGGCTTGGGAGTTGTTGAGCTTGATTCAGCGGGAAAGAGAGGACAAGCATGTGAGCTCTTTACCTGAACTCCAGTGCATCCATGCGATATTAACAGTCCCAGCGTACAGAATCAGAAATCATTTTTCTTGCTTCCGGGGTGGGCAGCCTCATTGTTGAACAGGTTTGTGATTAATCTCGGTCCTAAAGCAAGCAAGTATCGTGGCTAATTCTTTTTCCTCGGAAGGCGTTAGTGATTGCTCACCACAATCAAAGGTTTAGATCGATTAGACACCAAGCATCGTTCATTGTAAGGCACATTGAGGTCCACAGCTTACAGGTAAATCTGGTTCATTCTGGGGCTAACCGATGCCTGACAGGGGTTTCTTGAGGTCGAAGCGTAAAAAAGAACTGAAAAATCATGGGAAGATCTCAGCCTAGGCACAGCTGTGCGATTGAACCAGCAATATGGATGGGGGATCACGACGACATTGTCCCACGTGACTACAGCTCTGGAAGAAATTCATAGTTCCTTTTCTTCGGTTGCTGGGCGATACAAGACAGCTACATCTGAGAAAGTAGTGGCTTTTCGGGCAGAAAGAGCAACCGAGGAAGTATTGAATGAGTGGCAAATTCTATCAAGCCGAATCAGGCGTTTGACAATTCCATTTTCAGTTGGTATGTGGTAGTCACTTACTTCATGACATTCCTAGAAGCCTCGGTCGTGCTGATTTCTAGTATATCAGATTCTCAACAATTGTCGGACGCCCATAATGCCGGTGTTGCCCGCAACCTGATACTCTCCAGGTTTGCTCCTTTACATGATCGCAGCCTGGTACACTCTACATATAGCTCACAGGTATTAAAGGTCCTAGAGATCAACGAGACTTATTTGTCTTGGAGAGATAATGGTAATTCTGAACTACTATGCGTCTACGGGGGTGAGATAACCGCAAGTGCGCCGTTAAGAGGTCTATCAGCGGGAGAGGCCGTGGTTACAGCTTACTTAGCGTTTGGGGAGGTTCCATACTTCAAGAGAACAATGTCGACCATCTTGGAAGTGCTGATATATAGGATCCTGGCTACTGTTGTTCCTGCCTTTGATATCATTCAGCCCATTCTAGACTCCTTCGGTCAGATGCTGAATCACACTCACGGAGAGCTATGGATACTTGTTGAATCCTTATTGTTGTTTCACGACATCTAATCCAACTTTAATGTGATTGAAGGAATTTATATGTGCGAAGACGAGATAATAGATCAATTAGAAGCACTTGTGGCGTTGGCGTTGGGCCATGCCCGAAGTTTGTCCTGCAAAGTGCTTGCCACCAGCCAACCTCTCAACAATGCAACATCTGGGAAAGCAACTGTGATAAACCTAAACCCACTGATGTTGCAGCGTCAAAATGTGGAGTATATTATCAGACTCACGATTCGAAACTTTGGGACACAAACCTGGGGCTTCGCGGAGCTTGAGCAGCTAATTGTTAATGCACTTCCGGAATCAGCGACACCTTCGGAAATCGAGATGCGACTGCAAGCCTTATTACATGTTGTGAAACCACGAACTACATAATTGAGAACAACTTTCTACTTTTGCAGAAACCACTGCCAGAACTATATTCAGAGATACTGGGTCCACCGAGTGCTCTAATGCCGTGGGTGCGCAGGGCTTTGTCCTGGATGACGCTTAGCTTCCGGCCGCTTGACATACAGGAACTAGCCGTTGCTGTCGTATGCCAGGGCAGCCTACCATATCAGGAGATGCTTCACCATCTACCTCTAGATTTCGAGGGTGATCTAACACGTGCCTTGGGTCCGCTGGTTGATGTTCGCAACGGCCAGCTTATGTTTGCAAACGAATCCGTCAGAGAATATATCCAAAATGAGCTCACAGCAAAGCTGAACTCTGGTGGCGACTATAGCTGCGATGTTTTAACGCACGCCAACTTGACTCGTAGCTGTCTCACATATTTGAAACACTCTGGGGTAGCTCAAGCGGGCCCACGAGAAGGATGCCGGACTTCCTGGGAGCAGAGCGCATTGGATTTCAGCGAGTACGCAGCACGATACTGGACCTACCATTACCGCGCAACAGACAACAGAAACGTACTTATCCGTGACATACTGGACTTTTTATCTCAGGAGAACTGTAGAAATCGTTGGGCAGAGTGGTGGCGGACCGCGCACTGTTTCGACAGCATAGACTGCTTTGAGTGCACCCCACTTACTCTTGCTGCGGAACATGGCCTATGCAAAGTTGTCCATTAATTGATATCTTCCAGCGAAGGCAAATCTGTTTCTTCACAGGAAATGACTGAGGCATTAGAAATAGCATTGCAATTCGGCCACCTGGACGTGGCCCGTCAGTTGCTACTCGAAACGAACCCATCAAATAAGTCACTAACTCTTGCCAGTAGAGCAGGGGATACCGAACTGGTCACTAATATACTTCAAAAGCTCGGTGCTCCGGCATGTACCTGCCTTGAGTCACTTCAAGCAGCAGTTATTCGTGGACAACTTCAGACAATTGATATATTGCTGCAGCTGCTTCCAGACGTATCATCAGCTCTCGAAGATAACCCCTCTCTGTACCTCGACGCCATCAGGTCAGGGAAAACTGAGGTCGTGGAACGCCTACTCGATGTAGGACGTGCACAGTTACCGGTGGAAATTGGATCAAATTTGCTTCGCTTGGCTGCCCGGCGTGGCGATATCGACATTATTCGCTTGATCCAGGCCGAAGGCTCCAGTACAGACTGGAAAGATGAAAATTGTTGGACGATATTACACCATGCTGCTGACACTGGGCGTGCTAACGTCGTCACAGAACTTATATCATCATACGACCCTGAGGCCAAAGATGATGGTGGAATGTCTCCGTTACATATCGCTTGCAAAAACGGCAGCATATCGACGTTTATTGCACTTGTGAGGACGAATAAACTTAGCTTCAATGCGCCTACCGCTTACGGAGACCAGCCAAATCATCTGGCCGCGGCGGGAAACCACCTCCATATTGTGGTACGTCTTGTGCAACTGGGAGCCGATCCAAAGATACCGAACCGCAAAGGGTTTACGTCGTTGCACTTGGCTGCTCAAGCGGACCATCTCGCGGTTGTTCGGGAACTTATTCGTCGGATAGGAGACCCGCCGTCGGCTAATGTGGAGGAGGGTGCCGACAGTCGGGAGGCTTGCAAGGATCATACTAGCAGCCGTGGTGACGATGAGGAAGACAGAGGGGAAGCAGAGAACAGTAGCGATGGAGAATCCAAGGAAGAAGAAATTCAAAACTATGGGCTCGAACCAATCCCATTAAATTTGGCAGCCTTGAGAGGCTACGGTGATGTAGTAAGGGAACTTCTGAAGGCGCACGTTGACATCAATTTCGGGAACTGTAATGGGAGTACTCCACTACACCTGTCAGTTCATCACGGGCACACAGCTGTTGTAAAGACGCTGCTTGTTGGCGGCGCAAATGCAAGTCTCTGCCACCTGCATGGACGTTTGCCGCTTCATATAGCCTCGAAGCGGGAATGTTTTCATTTTCCGGGCCCTCCAAAAGTCTGAAACATATGTGAGAGCGGCCGATGACCGAGACAGAACCCCATTGCATATTACTGCCAGACATGGATATGAGGAATTGGTCGAGCTACTGCTCTGTCAAGGAGCTGACCCCAATTCTGGTGATATTGAAGGCCACACCACTTTATTTTGTACAATAAAGAGCGAAACCCGCGAGTATTCAAGGCTTTGTTGAATGCTGGTGCTAGAATTACTGACGCAAGCCAAAGCCAGTCTACTTTGATTCGAGATGCGGTGCGTGCTGGACAAGGTAGTGATGTTATTTGGTTATTGATGGAAGCTGGTTGTGACCTGCTGTGATAACGTCTATTGAGTGACTGAATGACATATATGCAGCACTGCAGCAGGAAGTATGTATCTTCTCACTACTAGTTCTTAGTCCATTCATGTCTTGGGTTGTCGGTAGGTGGTAGACAGGAGAAGATGATTTATCATGGGAGACTTCAATATAAAGCCTTGGCTAGTGATATACCTCATCCTTAGTACTTTATTCTCTAGATTGGGAACATGGTGATGTGGAGAGATAAGATAGGCGTTTCATAGCACCAGTCAGTCTGATCGCATATTGTGAATTACATGTCTGATAATACTTCAATGACTCAACGGTAGAACCGGCATCGATAGTCAATGTTAATGTTATTAAGAACCCTGGCATTGCGCGAGAATACTATTACATGGTCCAAGTAAAGCAGAGCGCCAAATTAGGCCCGTGCAAGCTCTTTTTAGCCACCTCACATCCATTGCATGTCATTTTATAAGTCTTGCAAGCCGAGAAGGCCGGTTGAATATCGGCACACAAGCCAGGACATTGCCAGCGGTACCACCACAACTTTCAGTGCATTGTCTGATGGCTTGTGTTCTCAACTTTTGCACTATATTATCCTAGTCAGAGAAATGTCTAATACATACGACCACAGGGTGTGGAAAACAGGGCTTCCCGTCCGCTCAGCCGTACTTAAGCCACACGCCGGGAGGTTAGTAGTTGGGTGGGTGACCACCAGCGAATCCCTTCTGTTGTATGTTTTTGCATTTTTTATCTTTTTATTGTTTTATCACAAACAATATTCATTCGAATCAGATCAAATAGATCGGTAGCCCTCCTTCACTGTCTCGTTCGGTCCAAATGTCATTCATATAACCGTCTCCTATAACCAAAAATCCCACGAGTCCTTCCCCGCAGCTGCGCACAACACCAATGCCATGCCAATACCAGGTACACTAACTAAGCTACGATCTAAGACTTCGGTCTGCATTTTCAAGCAGTCACAAGAAGACCAAGCCTATCATTGCTAGTACATGCTAACTCGGAAAAAATAAAGCCCGCTGAAGATACTACCATCAAGGTCTTTTCTTAGCACGCAAAGTGCTTATTACTATGTATCATTTAGCTATTCGCAATTCAAGTCATTAGCTCTTATCTCAGACCCTAGCCCTAACCCGACTGGTCCAACTATCCAGTCCAAAAACCATGCGCATCCATAACGTCGTAAACCCAAAACAAGAGACGATATCGATATTGATTAAGTCTTAGTGAGCTTGGTACTTTTGCTGCTAGGGCCTCCCCAGCACCACTTCGCCAAGGCGATGAGCCAATTCATGTCTCGCTCCCGCATGTCCATAAGCGGACAACTTCGCATGACAAGCTGGCCCTTGTCGAAGTACGCCTCGATAATCCGGAGATAGTGCTCTCCAATGGCTGATAGCAGCAGGACCTGCAAGAGTGGTTAGCGTTTCACGCTTACCTGAATAATAGGGGTAGCTAAAGGCTTACAGGGGCAATAGCATGAGGTCGGAGCGATGGATCTCGCAAGCGTCCGTGCATGATCACAATCGCGGCGTCAACATCGCTGCGGCAAAGCTCCTTGTTCTGTCCACATGAGAGCCACGATATGAGGGGCTTCAGTGTTGGTATCGTACCAAACTGATTTAACCTGCCACTGGGAGCCCAAAGTTACGCAGCCCAAGTCTTGAAAATTGAAGTTTCCCCAACTGGGCGAATAAACATCAATAAAGGTAAGTATTCAGAAAATGAGGGGAGAAACTAACGAGGTCATTCCAAAGCGAGGTGGGTGAGTGTCTGCTTGTGGCATCTCGCAACGGCAGAAAAATCGGTTCAGACAAATGGCGAGGTGTTCTGCATTCTTGTATTGGCATCCGTCGAATTTCGGCCAGTCTTCCGCATCTTCTGGATATTCATACTCGGGTTCTTCGATGGAATACAGGTAAGAGGAGAAGTAATAGGGGGGATTACTGGCATCAAGTGACAGTTCTGTGTGATTGATCTTGACCTGCTTGAGATGGGTGGGTAACAACCGAAGATCAAGTTCGCTAAGCTGTCCATAAATATTGTTCAGCTTCTGTCGGCGACGTTTCCTCTCGTATATTAGTTGCTTATCCATACTAGGCTTTTAGTTGTGATGGCAAGAAACAATGAAGCGCGTAGATGACGGATAGACGAGGACTTTTGCAAGATGACGAGTCGATCACGTGTCACGGTGAGCATGAAGGGGTGATCATCGCTGTATGTTGAAAGGATGGATATTCTAAGTAAAAGACCCTGGTGGACTATATGGATAGTAGCTTGCAGTGGCATCTGTCTGTTAAGTACTATCTCGAAACAATCCGTGATGAATCGTAACTTGGAAATGCCGAAAGCAGCGCTAAGAGTGAAGTGATTTTCTTGAAAGGTCTCAAGAGCGCTTATAGCATTATTCCTGACATGTTTAGCTAGTCTCATGCCTGACAGGCTCCTCAACGGGCGGGTTAAGGTCGTCAAGAGAAGCTTTTCGGGCGTCTGCATGTTTGAGTTTTGAATGCGCCGTGGCTTGCCTGTGTCACTAAAAAATTCCCATTTGACTTTATATCCGCCATAAGATGATCGTTAAGTTGGCAGATCGATCGAAACTAACAGCCTTGTCATTTGGGACTCAACACACTTTTATCCGGAGTGAAGCGAGGTTGTTCTAAAGGTCTTTTTCCGTCCATCTCAGTTACAGTCGGTTTCGACACTCACGATGTTCTTGTCCAATAACTCCGAGATTGAGTGAAATTGATGAATATGTGGAATCAAAGTGATCGACTGACTACTGTATCCAGCACGTGCCCCGGGGCAAGACACCGGGTTGGGAGGTCGGGGATCCTCGCTCCCGACTTCACTATGTCTTTCATTGGCACTCTCCATCCACACCACTGTGCAGACCCCCTGGAGGAGACACAGTCAGCAACTCAACAGGTCGGTGGCTCAATTTATCCATGGAAATTTGTCAGGCCAAATTTCGATATATCATACATTAAAAGCCGAGTTACCCGTCGACGGGCTCCTTCGTATCTGTCAACATCGATGCGAATTGCGCGATCAGCCTTTGCGGGTCTGCAATTCGCATCTTTGCTTTTATCAGAGTATGATTCGTAGAGTCCATCATTAGCTATGACCCGTTGCTCTGTGGGAGAGATCACCGAGGGAAAGATAAGCTATCCATCATGCAAATCAGATTGTTTTACTGACAACTTAAGACACGAAGCACGGTACTTCCTCCTTTACACAGTCCACTGCAGACATCCTTCAAGGCAGCGTCTTTATCTTTTCTTTGTATGTTGACGGCCTAGATTATGTTATAATGATAAGCTGAACACCTATGCGGCCCTGCCATTGAGGTCCTGCCATTCGTGCAACACCCGAGCATGATGCCGAATATGCTGTCGTCCGACCAACACCACGTATGTATGTGAGATGGAACACTCAATTTTTCACCGACAGCAGGTTTTAGCTGCAGCTCACTGACTCATAATGTGATGCCGCGTTCGGAAACCGAGCCGAAGTTGGACGAGGAGCTCGCTGAGAGGCCCGATAGGATCATCCCGCCGATGATCCTTCAGCCCAGGCCCGTAACCCAATCTGGCCCCCGCCGTATGCCTGACCGACTATATCTCCTGCACCCCGCTCTCTTTTGGCATCTGCTACGCACAGATGATGCTCAGTGCTAGCAAAACATAATTCCAACAATGGCGCTCGAGCAGAAGTCGGCCGCCTCCATCGCCGAGCAGCCCTGGCGCTCAACAGACTTGCAAGGCCCGTCTGACCTTAGCGCCGTGCATTCCACTGCCAGCTACGGCAGACCCCGATCATTCGAGATCGTTGAACCACCAGCCCAGATCTCCACCAACACCTTCCACGTCCGTGACACTACTCCCCACGATATATTCCCAGATGGTGGAACCCGGTCATGGGTTGTTGTTCTGGGGTCCTTTTTTCTACTGATGAGCAGTTACGGCATGATGAACTCTACTGGTGTCCTTCAGAGTTATTTTGCCAGCCACCAGCTCTCAGACTACACCAGTAGTGTCATCGGTTGGATACCGGGCCTATTTGTCTTCTGTGGCCTGGGCTTGGGCGCCCAGGTTGGTCCGATGTTCGACAGGTACGGACCTACGGGCATTCTCATCGCTGGGACGGCTTGCTACGTCGCGGGCCTGCTACTGATGGCTGAATGCCAACTCTACTGGCAATTTATCTTGACCTTTGGTGTTCTCACTGGCATGGGCGCCGCTCTGCTGAGCACGGCTGCCATTTCTGCCGTTCCCCATTGGTTCGATCGCCGAGTTGGCTTGGCCATGGGCACGGCGATGGCCGGAGCGGGAGTTGGGGGTGTGGTATTCCCCTGGGTTCTCCGGGCAGGATTCAAGGACCTTGGATATAAGTGGACCATGCGGCTGCTTGCATTGATTGTGGGGACATTGTGTGCAATGGGAATTGCTTTTGTTCGTTCTCGTCTACCAAGAAGCCAGAGCAAGCCGAGCATCAACGTGCGTGCCTTCCAGGATGCCAGGTTTACCTGGTTGACCATGGGAACATTCAGTAAGTCCAAGGCTTTCGACCGCTCTAAGGTAGTGTTAGTCTGCTAATGCTCTGTAGTCATGGAACTGGAAGTCTTTGGCTGCCTCGGTCTCTACCCGACATATGTTGTAATGCAGGGATTTGGCACTACCACCAGCATCATCCTTCTGTCTATTTTGAACGTGTAGGGGCTGACATGATATAATAACTATGAAAACCTGATCAAATCTAATGCAATTTTCTAGGTGCTCTACCATCGGTCGCCTTGTCGCTGGCGGTGTTGCAGACAAGTATGGGCGAATTAATACGCAGATTGGACTGCTCGGCCTAGGTGCCGTGGCGGTCTTTGTCATCTGGCTACCCTTCGGAAGCAAGTTGGCGGGACTCTATATCTTCAGCTGTGTATATGGTTTTGCTTCCGGTTCCTTTATTAGCCTGGCGCCAGCTTGCATCGGTCAAATCTCCAAAGCCAGCGAAGTGGGAGGAAGATTTGGGGTTTGCTATCTGACCGTCAGCTTTGCGTATGCCTCCCGAACTTTTGTAAGAGAACATGCTAATTTTCAGCCAGTACTCTGATCAGTATCCCCATTGGCGGTGAGATGATCGAAACGGTCGGAAAGCAGGCCATGGTGGCCTTTCTTGGTGCCGTTCTGGTCATCGCAATGGGCATGTTCTCCATGGCACGGTGGTCGTGCCTTAATTACCGATGGCGATGGCAGGCTAAGATCTGATTTTATCTTGGTAATGAGCCGTTGCGGTCAAGTGACTATGATGCATTGGGCGATAAAAGTTTGATGTTTGGTCTCAACTTTCGGTGTCCTTTTCTATCTAATATCACCATTTCGATGGCTTTCGGGATGTTCAAGGCAGCCCTGGCGCTACATCAGCCAGTGGCACATTATTAGTGGTTTCATCTCTTTCTGGTTTCGTTTCTGGGAAACTAACTGCATTGGGCGCATTCATCTCGGGCATGTCATCGTGTTGGGGGGGAATTTGGGGTGAATCTTTGGCCGTCGATGCCGCCGGACACATCGAGTTAGGGCTGCGCGGGAATATCGTGGCCGTGATTGGTGCATTGACCCAATTGAAATCATGTCCCGCCGGGGACAACCCGAGCAATACAAGCATAGGATATTTCTTGTCATTGGCATATGGTAGAAGATTTACCGTCTACGTAGGCTTCTGTAACTGACCGACAATTATAGACTTCCTATTATGGCGTTTGCGTTGAGGATAGTTGTAGACGCACGTACGTGATGGTCGGGTGTAGATGGCAAGATGTCGATCCTTGTTAGGCTTGTTCAGGTTTATGCCTACCCAGTGATTACGTCTCTAGCAGCTAGTGGCTTGGCCTCTGTTCTGTCTGTGGGATATTTGATGTACGGGTGGTACTACTAGAATTGGTTTCACCTTGATGTCAATGTCGCTGCAAACTGACAAAGATGCTGGTGCCGTGAATATATAGTGGAATGTGTTGAGCTGGTACTACTACTACCAGCAAACACCGACAACCACTCAGTGGTATAGCTTCACCACTTCAAAACAGCATATAAATCTAGCCTCCTTAGAGTATCCCAATTATCATTTACACAATCCCCCAAAACAATAGCGACGTCAACAAAACTTCCTCTAGACACAACATGGCCCCCAAGTACATTCTCCAAACATAATGTCAAAAATAGCAAAACCAACATATTAAATCCTCGATGGTCTAACGGTCATGATTTCCGCTTGTCAATCCCCTTTCGGGAACAAGCGCGGGAGACCTGGGTTCGACTCCCAGTCGGGGAGATTTCTTTTTACTTCATCTTCCTTTTTTGTTTATGCTATTGGCTGCTGCTCCCCACCACTCATTGGACACAAAACATTCCCTTTCACATTCGTATTTGGCAGAAGTACCATGAGCTCGTCCACGGTACTGCTGCAAAGCGTAGAAGTAACTAGTCAAACTAACGCTTCATAGAACAAAGAGAACCGTATACTGAACGCTTCAAAATAGGCACTAATCCTATGTGGCTAAAGTTATTTATACATAACAAACAACACAGTCTACTCTGTAACCAATACCCACACAGTAAATAGCCAACAATCTCAATGAAATCACACATCCATCAATTGCCGCTCAACCCATCCTGTAGTATCAAATCCTTATCGCACCCGCCAAGCACCCACCACCCGAATAGGATAAATCACGCCCGCCGCGCCCCACCCAAATCTAGTCGCGCGCCGCCGCCGCAGCGCGTTCCACCGAACAAAGGGAAACCGTCGGCAACAATCAATACGCCGTTACTTGCGTGCCCTTACAGACAAACAAAACAAGACGAGACAAGACAAGACGAGATGCTCATTGCGATGTAGACTGTCAATTCCACATACACAGACAACTACCACACCCACATCCCCACCCAGAAGAAGAGGAGAAGAAACAGAAGACCCGAAGAAATGGCACCTGCCCGTAAACGCCGCGCGGTATGTCACTCACTCACCTCAACACCGCACCAAGCTCAAACCTAACACGTAGCTGCATGCAAAGGTCCCCGACTCACCCAGCGAAGAAGACGACGTTCCCACGCCCGCGACGCAACGACGCCGGGTAGCAGCGGCGCACAGCGAAGACGAAGACGATAGCGATGCCGATGGCGATGGTGATGATGCGTACGATACGCGGGCGCCCAGTAGCACGGACGTGATGGTGAAGAAGATGGTGCGGTTAGCGCTAGCGAGCGAGTTCTCGCGCCTGCCGATCCGACGATCGGATATTAGTGTTAAGGTGCTTGGGGAGCAGGGGACGAGACAGTTCAAGATGGTGTTTGAGGAGGCGCAGAGGGTGTTGCAGGAGAAGTTTGGGATGGAGATGATGGAGTTGCCGGTTAAGGAGAAGGTTACGGTGCAGCAGAGGAGGGGTGAGTTTTTCTACACACCCTGTGATGAATGGAGAAAGGGGGGGGTGGTGGGTGTGGAAATGTGTATTGGCTAACTGGTGAATGTGGATGTGGATGTGAACAGCTGCGCAAAAGGTTGAAAAGCCTTCATCTACGAACAAGTCCTGGATAGTGACGACTACGTTGCCGACGAAGTACCGGAAACCTGAGATATTGTTGCCTAGTAGGGCGCCGATGGAGAGTACCTATACGGGGCTGTATAGTTTTATTATTGCGGTGATTGTGCTTAATGGGGGCACGATTCATGAGCAGAAGCTCGAGAGGTATCTGAAGCGGACTAATACGGATGCGTGGACGCCTATTGATCGGACGGATCGGTTCCTGCAACGGTTGTGTAAAGAGGGGTATTTGGTGCGCAATCGCGATGTGGATGGTGGGGAGGAGGTCGTTGAGTATATTCTTGGGCCTAGGGGGAAGATTGAGGTGGGGACGAAGGGGGTTGCGAGGTTGGTTCGGGAGGTCTATGGACAGTCTGAGGGCAGTGAGAGGGATGATGAGTTCGAGATCCGACTGGCGCGGAGTCTTGGGCTAAAGCAGCCGGAACCGCGTGCCCAGGAAGAACAGGCCGAGGAGGGTGGTGGTGATGGTGAAGAGGAGGGTGGGAGGCAAAGGCAGAGGCGGGAGCAGCCTAGCCGCCGGGTCAATAGGCGGCTGCCTGAATCTGAGGCCGAGGAGGAGAGTGAGGAAGAGGAGAGTGATGGGTAACCGCCATGTCTTCTTTTTTTTTTTTTTTTTGTTTATGTGATGACTTGTCGCTTGTTGTATTGTTGCTAGCTAAATTCTGTCTGAATGATACCCGTTGATTATGGTTCGTGACTTGCATAGATTGCTCGCCTGGTATGGAAGAAGATCATAGTTGGTGCCAGCCCAAAACACCACTGATGGTTTAACAAGAATTCATATTAGACCCGCGGACTGGCCGCATGCATCCGAACAGCCATCTATGCTTCGAATACAGGAACAAAGTAATCATCAGTGGTATATCTATGATCAAAAAAGTCGCTATACACAGTTGTTGCCGTCTATTCGCTGTCACTGGCGCTGTCGTGAACCGATCCATTGTCCGCATCCTCCCTTAGCCCCTCCGCCATGATGTACTCTGCTTGCTGTAGCGTGGTCTTGATCTCCTGGTTATTGTAGACGAGCTCAGCTGGTTTCTGACCGTGCTTGTTCCTGACACGCGGATCACAACCGGCTTCGCACATCATCTTGATCATTGCCTCGCCTAATTCGGCGTCTTTCTCGTTCGCATAACGCACGGCGGTATGCAGCGGGGTATCTTTGTCCAGACGGGTGAGGGGGTCGCATTCGAAGTACTGAATATCGAAGAGGGCGTCCATAACGTCGTCTGCAACACATTGTCATTAAATTAGCATGTGTATAAGGTAGTGCTGATGCCAAGAGGATAGGGCTGTGGTCTCAATGAGGGGTGTTCACTTACAGCTACCGTACGTAGCACATATGTGAAGAGCGTGGTTCCCCATCGAATCCGTCACACCGTTGAAAAATTCGGCCACTTCTTCATTCGACTTTCCTTCCATACGCTCCAGGACACTCTCTATCAAATGAGGCTGATCTCGACGGCAGGCCTCTACGACTAGTTCACGGGGGGAAGCGCCCTATGCGATCAATGCTTGTTAGCAACGCTGCCGGAGTTGGGATATTGCAGCACTCACTTCGTCAGCCATGGTTGGTTGTTCTTGAGAAATGACGAGTGTAGAGTATGACAAGTAGCTGTATCTTGAATAGTCAAGGGTGGTTGCGCGGAGGGGTCAAACAAATGCCGCAAGTATGGGGCCGGGTTAGCCGCGAAGGTGGTAAAGGAGGCGGTGTCGGAAACGAGGACTGGGGATCAGCAATGCCTCAAAGCAACTGAAACAATCGACGTAGTGTTTTAGGGTAGTGAGTCTGTAGCCCTGAGTGTTGAAGAAAACACAGAAAGATTTAATCGATGTAGATTCCTCGCAGCTGCGTTTAAAAGTACTATCAGTAGGATACTGTCTCCTATTGTTGTTCCCCGCGGCCGAGCATACAGTGCAGTGGAATGGATGCATGACTCCCGCCGCGGACAGCCATTCGGAAGGGAGGTTACTCCGGCCGGCCAGGCAGCCCCGCGTCCAATCGGCGGCGGTGAATCTCTCCGCCAACGAAATCGCCGGTCGATAAGAGCCTCAGCAGCTAGCCGGCGATTATCGTCCAGATCGCTGCGACCCTTACTTGCGCCGGACAGTGGCAGCTGCACCAGTCCCGTAACCGCCTTTATGAAGGCTATGCTATGCGAGAATTGTGCTACAAAGTGACTGACTGATTGATCCCTTGGTTGATTTACGAACTTTCACCCAGGAAGAAGCAAGCAAGCAAGCAACATTCACGATGCCGTTGACCTGTTAGTTTTCTCCTCTTGCAGCCTCTACAATCTACAGTACTTGTTAACTAACCCTCACCTTTCTACTCCCCAGTCTGCCCTAACTGCAGCAATGCGCTCACGATCTCTCGTGCGGAACCGACCACAAGACATCCCCTAGGTGTCAACCGATTCGAATGCCGCACCTGCCCATACCAATATGCTCTGGACCAGAGCTGGTTTGAGAAGACACCCATGAAGCAGAAGGAAGTGGAAGATGTCTTTGGAGGCAAGGAAGAATTCGCAAATGCAGATAGCGTGGCCAGTAAGTCACAAGCCTGGAGGGGCACTCTTCCCTACGGTTGTTGGAATAAACTTGGGGGCTTGGGGCTAATGTTGTGCTTTCTCTTCCCTTTTTCCCTACCCGCAGCTCAATGCCCCGCAGAAGACTGTAATGGCGACCGCGCATACTTTTTCCAGCTGCAGATTCGGAGTGCAGACGAACCGATGACCACATTCCTAAAGGTGGGTGCGCACCAGCGGCTTATGCGGTTCTCATGCATCTGGCCTGACATGCCTTGCTGATTGCGGTTGACAGTGTACCACGTGTGGTGCCCGATGGAGAGAGAACTGAGGCTACTCCATTATTAGAGTTTGGACTATATGGAGATACTCTGGAGAACAATATGTGTTGTTCGAATAATAGAGGGGCGGGGGATAATGTAGAGGAAGAACGGGAAGTATAGGAAAGGGAAAAAAAAAAGGAAGGCTGGTGCTACGGTGTATGATTAGGATGATGATCTGGGCCCCTGCGATTGTGATTATTCCCATTTGCGATGATTTACATCGAGATTACTAGAGATACCCCTCAATGGATGATGACACCAATCCATAGCAACTACTATACAAGAGTGGTTAAACTACACGCCTACTCCCTATTGGAGTGAGCTAAGAAAAGTATGTCAGATTAAGCGCAAAAGAAGAAATTTTCTTCCCGCCTCGTTGATCCAATTTATTATTATTTTTTAGTATTTTATTTTTTTGAGACTAATTTTTTCCGTTCCTATTTTCCCCTCCTACAGAATTTGCCGCCGCCAACAAAATCTACGTACTAGCTATTCATGGTAACCTGGCAACGGCAAATAATAGCCCGATTGGGATTGGCCAGATCCAGGTAAGCTACCAAGTTAGTAGGTGTATAAGTGGTACTTTGTAGAAAGGATCCTTTGTGTGTGTTCTTTCTGGTACGGTACCAAATCTTGAGTCATCTTTTTCTCACTTCTTTTTCTCTCTATCCTCAAAAGAGCCACTGTCGGGGTCCCAAAGAGGAAGGGGGTTGGTTAAGGATGGGAAAAGAAAAAAAGGTGAAATAAAAAGAAAAGAGAAAGGCTAGATACCTAACCGCACTGTCAGGTCAAGACACTAAGTGAGGGGCAGCGATGATGGCAAAAAAAATGATGTGGGCAAGGGAAAAAAAAGATTTTCTCTCACATGTTTTGCCGCACCAGCCATCCCACTATCAAAAAGCGATGATGTTTGAGATTGTCGGGTGTCCACATCATTTTTAGTGTGAATCGCTAGTAAGAATTTGAGATATTATTGAGCATCATCCCATGATAGCGAGTACAAGTCCCGAGTAAATACCAACATTGCTATACTCCCACTGCTGATGCTGCTATCTAGTTTGCTACGTTGGTCGTTGACCTCACAGGGATTTCCACCAAAAAAGTGGATCGGGCGGGCGCCACTCGGCCGTGCCACAGCAGCCTGAGAGCGGACAAATAACAACAGCCGCTTGCCGCGGGGTTCGGTTGCAAACATGACCAAACAGGCCAGGCCATCATCAACCCACCGCTGCGTTGATGCCCAGGATTTCAGTCCAATAATCCACAATTTACCAACGGATAGAGCTAGATGAATTAGGTCCAAGTAGATAGACAAGAGGACCGGAGGGAGGGGACCGAGAGAGAGAAAAATTTTCGATGAAAGAGTGGTCAAGGTGGGGTCGTAGTTCGGCGCTCCGAAGGCGAGGAACCAAGGAAAGGCGAGAAAAGGACAGGCTGATCGCGCAGTGTTGCTGGGCTGCAAGCGTGTCCAGTTGAGTCTGGAAAAGGCTCCGCCGTGAAGATTCTGCGTTGGTCCCGCACCTGCGTGGTGGGGGCATTACCCCTCCATGTCCAATGAATTCAAGTCAAAGCCAAGGGTTGAAGCCCGCCCGCTTAGTCGCCTTCTCGCTTGACCCCTCCATATAAGTATTTCCCCTCCTCCCCCTCCCACAAATTTTTCCTTTCCCTTTCCTCCCTCGTCCGCTTCAGTACGTATATCTTCCCCTCCCATCTCTCTCTTCCTTCCTGTCTCTTCTCTCTTTCTTCATTCATCCCTCTCTCTAACTGACTTTGTTGCTCAGCACCTCTACGCGTTCTGGCCGTAGTATCTGAGCAATTTTTTCTACAGACTTTTTCTATCTAATTCCAAAAAAGAACTTCGAGTTCATTCACAACCGTCATCATGGGGTAAGTCCAGACAACAATCCATCATCTGATGGAGAAAAGGACATCGGCTAACGGCTATCTTCTTCAACAGTAAGGAGGACAAGACTCACATCAACATCGTCGTTATCGGCCACGTCGATTCCGGCAAGTCCACCACCACTGGTCACCTGATCTACAAGTGCGGTGGTATCGACCAGCGTACCATCGAGAAGTTCGAGAAGGTAAGGAGGATCATACATCAGACAGAATCATAACAAGACACGGTACTAACTACATCCAACAGGAAGCCGCTGAGCTCGGTAAGGGTTCCTTCAAGTACGCTTGGGTTCTTGACAAGCTCAAGTCCGAGCGTGAGCGTGGTATCACCATCGACATTGCCCTCTGGAAGTTCCAGACCGGCAAGTATGAGGTCACCGTCATTGGTATGTACTCACAGCATCCTCTCTTCATCAAATCAATATACTAACGTCCATCATAGACGCCCCCGGTCACCGTGACTTCATCAAGAACATGATCACTGGTACCTCCCAGGCTGACTGCGCTATCCTCATCATTGCCTCCGGTACTGGTGAGTTCGAGGCTGGTATCTCCAAGGATGGCCAGACTCGTGAGCACGCTCTGCTTGCTTTCACCCTCGGTGTCCGCCAGCTCATCGTTGCCCTCAACAAGATGGACACCTGCAAGTGGTCCGAGGACCGTTACAACGAAATCGTTAAGGAGACCTCCAACTTCATCAAGAAGGTCGGATACAACCCCAAGGGTGTTCCTTTCGTCCCCATCTCCGGTTTCAACGGTGACAACATGCTCGAGCCCTCCCCCAACTGCCCCTGGTACAAGGGTTGGGAGAAGGAGACCAAGGCCGGCAAGGTCACCGGTAAGACCCTCCTTGAGGCCATCGACGCCATTGAGCCCCCCGTCCGTCCCTCCAACAAGCCCCTCCGTCTTCCCCTCCAGGATGTCTACAAGATCTCCGGTATTGGAACTGTTCCCGTCGGTCGTGTCGAGACCGGTATCATTGCCCCTGGTATGGTCGTGACCTTCGCTCCCGCCAACGTCACCACTGAAGTCAAGTCCGTTGAGATGCACCACCAGCAGCTCAAGGAGGGTGTCCCCGGTGACAACGTTGGTTTCAACGTCAAGAACGTTTCCGTCAAGGAGGTTCGCCGTGGTAACGTTGCCGGTGACTCCAAGAACGACCCCCCTCTTGGCTGTGAGAGCTTCACCGCCCAGGTCATCGTCCTCAACCACCCCGGTCAGGTCGGCGCTGGTTACGCTCCCGTCCTGGACTGCCACACTGCTCACATTGCTTGCAAGTTCGCTGAGCTCCTTGAGAAGATTGACCGCCGTACCGGAAAGTCTGTTGAATCTGCCCCCAAGTTCATCAAGTCCGGTGACGCTGCCATCGTCAAGATGATTCCCTCCAAGCCCATGTGTGTTGAGGCTTTCACTGACTACCCCCCTCTTGGTCGTTTCGCCGTCCGCGACATGAGACAGACTGTTGCGGTAGGAGTCATCAAGGCTGTTGAGAAGAAGGAGGGTGGTTCTGGCAAGGTCACCAAGGCCGCCCAGAAGGCCGGTAAGAAATAAGCTGGTGCAGGGTGAAAATGGCATGATGAACCTTTGATGATCAAACAAAACAATGGAATTACGGAATTAGACTTTAAGTTTATGTAGTTGATCCTACAAAACTTGAATTACGACTCGTTTCGTTCATTTGGCTCGCATCGTAGGCAATTTGTAGAGTTTTCCGTTTTCGGCTTCATGAAGCTGAAGTAGTAGATATTTCTATATCGAGATCTTAGTAATCTGTCATCGGTAGATGACTAATCATACTTCAACCAATCACAGTGCTTCTGATTCGACGTCCCCCGCAGTGTAGAACTTCGACAAACAAGCCATATTAACTCTCTTGATACATGTTTGAGATGTCCTCGCGACATGAGCTTACGTCAAGCCTCTGTTGCTTCTATAATTACATTTTGCTCTATTTTATGGAATGTTTGTGATGATATGATCATGACCGGGGGTAAGTAGATGAGATCTTGAACAGGTTGCTTGCGTGGTTTACGTGAAGGCAGGTGTGCTGGATGCTCTAGTTATACGTATGTGATGCTACAATGGTGGCTTGCTGAAAGAACAATATCCAACATTTTTAGATGTCGTGGAACGGGAGGACAACAAGCAATATAGTGAAAACTATGTGGCACTAATAGGAGTTATGTGATCAACAATGCTATTCTTGGTCACCTTAGCGATCAGCTTCTGGTGCCATTGTGATCTGGTGAATGCCATTATCGTCAGTGGGTGGATAGAAGGGGAAAAGAACTTTAATTTTCAGCCATCAAAGAATGGACCTGAGGTCGAAGTTTTAAGAGTTGATTGTCGAATAATATACCTACAAAGGTGATGAACAGCATGATTCAATATATACTGGATTGAGCAACTCTTAGATTGATTAAAGCGACAGCAAGGATTGCTACTTGAAGCATATGGCATGACACTGAAACGGGAAATTGTTATTAACCACATCTGATATTGAAGGTGTAGCGAAACAACGGCCTCAACAAGTACATATAATTAGCGCACTGAAAATTTTGAGACATCGAGTAGAATCATTGCAGTCCCCCATGTCTCTCGAGCAATACTACGTCGTTTAACCACAACATCCACACACTTCCGAAGGTCATCAAGCATCAAAGACAGGGGCGGAGGTGGCACTGGACGTAAAAGGAGCATATCCATGTTTGCTCGGGTAGAATACTCACCTTGTGATAGATGCACTGGTTGAGCGTGGCTCTCAGAATTGGTAACAATGACTGACTTCATGTTAAAACTGTGGAGATCGATACCCATGCATCAGGATTACCTCTCTATGGACCCTCATTCTTCCCACCCCAGATGCGGCATCATACCCGTGGATCTTGACGAAGAATACACCCTTGCACTTGGATATCATCCAGCCCCAGTACGCTGAGTTTGACGAGTATGACCGCACGAATCTATTTAGAAATTCCACTAATTTGGATGCGGCGTCAACGGTGACGCTCGCACTCAGCGTTGGGTTCTGATGTCTACCAGTCATACCAATGGTCAAAAAGAGATATTGAATCAACCCCGCTTAGAATGGACGGCCCTCGGCCGATGAC